GTAACGGTGTAAGTGTTCGTTGCAACGGGATTTACATTGACCGGGTTTCCCGTAAGTCCGCCGGGGCTCCAGGAATAAGTGGTCCCTCCTGTGGCCTGTAAGGTTGCGGTATTACCGCTGCACACCGTCGGAGTAGCCGTTGACGCCGTAATTGCAGGTGTCTGATTTACTACAATCGCTACATCAGTCCTTGCGCTGGTCAGCCCGCCAACCGTTTGTTCCACATAAGCATGAAGCGTTGTGACGGCCTGTTGCGTAGCGAAGCTGTAAGTTGTGTTGGTGCCAAGTAATGAACCACCCGTTGCAGCACTCCACCACCGGAAGGTAGCGCCTGCCTGGCCTGTTGCAGTAATCGTGGTGCCATTGCCGGTACAGATATTGGTAGCACCGGTATAACCGGGAGCTGGTGGCTGTGCGATTGCTCGAATACCCGTCAGACACAACAACAATAGCAAGATGGTAATAGTCCTCTTCATGATTTTTAGGTTCGTGCTTTTAAAGGCGGAGCCGAAAGTGACGAGTTGCTAAACTCGCAAACCGCTATTTATGAGCCGAAAAAGTTGATAACGGTGTATTACCCGTGTATGAACAACACCATTTAATACGTGGCGGTTTTGGGCACAATGATTTCTATTTTACCTTTAAAGAAATATTGATGATGAAGTACAGGTGTATCATAGCGGACGACAACATCCTGGAACGAGATCTATTACAACTGCTGCTGGAAAGGACAGGACTTGTAGAAATCATTGCCGTATGCAATGATGGACTTGAGGCGTATCAGGTGCTTAATACCCGGCAAACGGATATCGTCTTCACCGATATTAATATGCCGCATCTTAATGGACTGGAACTTGTAAAAAGCCTGAAACAGCAGCCGGTATTCGTGTTGGTCAGCGCACATGCTTCGTATGCCGTAGCTGCTTTTGACCTGGATGTTGCTGACTTTATTCTGAAACCGGTACTGATGGAACGGCTGCTGCGCGCGCTGGACAAAGCCACAGCGTTCCTCGAATTACGGAGAAAGGAGACGACAGACCGGCATGCATTACCCGATCTAAGAGGCGACTATTTTTTCATCCGTACTTCCGACGGTTTAGTAAGGATCGATCATAATACCATCAGCCATATTGAGGCGGCAGGAAATTTCTCCAAAATATATACCGTACAAGGGCATTGCCACCTGACACTGGTAAACCTGAAGAGCATGATGGCACAGCTG